AGTTCTCCCTTTGAGCCTGTGGCGGATGCCATTAAATCCTACAAAAAAGGGACCAGTTCAAAAACACAAACCTGACATGAGAGCAAAACAAATTTCAGACCTCTAAGTGTGTTCACCTGTTTCCATGTGTGCTTGTTTGAAGCTGCAGACGTTCACGATCGCCGTTTGCCATTTCTTTTCACCGGGAGCGCTTCTTCAACGGCTCCTCATGTCTGGTGCTCAGTGGTTTTCTTTTACCACTGGCAGTGGCCTGAAGGTTGACCTGCACGGTCACTAGGTATTTGCGCAAAGTGCGCTCATGCACCTTCCTGATTGAACACGTTCGTGAGATGGCCGAGGTTCTTCGGGTCAGGTCTTCGTCTTGTTGACACATGTATACACATGGGGAGAGGGACCATTCTCTGGTGGTGCTGCCATACTCCAAGTGCATGACCACATGACAAAACATACGCAACTTGGGAATGAGTTTGAATCTTGCCCGACCCAGCTTGTAACTCAAGTTGGCAGCAGCGATGTAGTGGTCCAACAACTGGCGTCCAAACGAAGCTAGCTCTGCCGTTTCAGCCTTTCCCATGAACAGGTTCGCTCGAAACAATCGACTGAGAAAGGCATTTCCAGAGCGCAGTGCGTTGAGAATACAGGTAGTGTACTCCTTGTGAACACTGTTCTCCCGGACCACCACATCGTACTTGTATTGCAAAAACTTCGCAACGGCCGTAGTGTCAGCCCCCTTGAACCATCCCCTGTACAAAGCTTTTCGCTTGGGAGAGACAAAACACGCGGACAACAACAAAGGGTCGAATGCACAACATAGAAAAACAAAAATTAACAACATATGGAGGCCAGAGTGCCCTGTAGGGAAATCGCAGTGGGCTTCAAAATGCAAAATGGTCCTTGTGAAATCGTTCACGTGCAGACTGCACTTGTTGTCCGCGCACCATTTCTTCACTTCTTTGAACAACTCGTGCAGCCTTTTTGGGATGTCACCTTCGTATCCGTCGAAGTTGTCATCCAGCAAAGCAGCCTAACGCATTTTGGGTCGAGATGGTCAGTGCAGCACCTCTGAACAAAGAACCTAGAAAGAGAACAGGAAAACAACAATATAGTTAATGAGGGTCTAGGATCTATGGCGCTACCGGCCAACTCTGCCATCACACCCTTGTGGAGGGTGTGAAATAGATCTGGACGGTAAAACCAAGTCTTCTGCCACATGTCGGAATTGCGACAGAGTTTCGCAGTGAGCGCAGATTCACATTTCCATGGAGCTTCCGAAGTGTTCAAAGAGTCGCTGCACAACCAAGAGCCCCCACGGCACTTGCTCCAATCACTGTAGGTAGCTGTTCCAGCTAGACACAAATGGCAAATGCCCTTCATATTCCGAGGGTGCGCGCTCGCCTGGTGATGTGTCCTCACAAGATTTCCACACTTCTTCAGAAAGGGCCAATCGCCCTTGGCACAGATAATGACTGGGTACACCACGATAGTTTTTTGATAGCCCTCATGCCAAACTGAAATTCCATCTTTGTACAAGTCATCGCAATGCTGTGAGAAGTGATCCAGAAGAGCATGAAAGACTTCAGGGCTCTTGCTGTAGCATGAGGCTCGCATCACAGAGTACACAAAGCGAGTGAGACAGCTCACTCCAAGCACGTTCACTCCGAGGTCTTTTGGACGGTTGGCGGCCTGATTTGTGAAGGAGGTGCCATGCCCGATGACGGGCTGCGAAGCAAAGACAAGGAAAGCAGCTTTCTTGTGAGACTGACCCTCGTCGCCATACACAGCAAAGGGTACACAAGTAGACAAATCGCCCTTTTCAGCTCTCAATTTGGATACCAGTTCTGGGTTTTCCCCTTCAAACCTCCCCCAAAAAAGTTGGGTTGCCGCAAAGAGGTCTTGGCCTCCACAAAGGATGTCCAGGCGGTTCTCCCTAGAGAGCATGTCCAAGTGATCCTCCAATCTCAGCACAGGGTGTAATGCTTTCAGCTTGACATCAACGTAGGATAGTTTCACGTCAGCTTGAAGTTTGTGGTTTTCAAGAAGTCTTGGATCACTCTCCTTTGTACTGTTCCGTAGTTTTCTCATGTCAGAAAGCAACCACGAGCTCTTCATGCGCAATGGTTTCTCTCCAACAGCTTCTTCATGTTCTTCTAATAAGGCCGATGTAAGCTGACATGTTATTCGGTCAGGCACCTTGTAGATTACACAAGCCGGTTTGCAATAGAAAGGAAATGGAATCTTAGCAACACAGTAAAAACTTTTGTAAAGCATTGCAAGTTCTCCGATCGAGCTACTCCACAACTGACCGCCTTTGCAATTGCCTTGGCCACAGGCGTCAAAGGCCGCGATTGGCTGGACGAAGGCTGGCCTGCACAGGAACTGTTTCAGTTGGAGGGGTTGTGAATTAAATCACGCACAGTGTTGACAGCGTTGCTAAAAAAGTGGGTGGTCGATCATACCTTTCGAGCTTCGCCGTTCGATGCACTTCGCTCTGTCAAGATACTTCACAGCCGATTGTTGGCCATGTTCAACCCTAACCCCAAGCATGCGCCTGAAGGACTGGCAAAAAAGTAAACTGCCGTTTTGTTGAACAGAGTTGGCATTAAAACGTGCGATTTTTTTGTGGCCCCCAGTCCTTTGTGCGCATGACACCCCAACGCACAAGCTTCTCTGAGTAGCTCAGGCTAGAACTAACTAGGACTTGGACTTCTTATCTTTCTTCTTCTCTTTCTTGTCTTTCTTCTTGTCTTTCTCTTGCTCACTTTGCTCTGCGTTCTTTTTCTGCTTCTTTGAAGCAGAGTCCTCCGCAGGCTTCGTGACCTTTCTCTTGGATTTGGCCGCGGCCTCACTCTCAGTCTTCTTCACGTCCTTGAGAACGGTCCTGGAAAATGTCCAATTGGATTGGGTCACAAAACTGTTTTGCTAGCAGAAACTCGGGGCCACACTTCTTCACTTTGTTTGCTTCACACGTGGCGCGTGAGCTCCTGTAGAGTAAAGTGATTCCAGCCAGTGCGCCAGAAGGTTTAAGAAAGCTTGGGCCGCGACACCGTCTCAATCTCAGAGAGCTTTGCTCTTACCTCTTCAGAGGTTTTCCTGCGCGCAAAGATTGAACAAGTTACGAGCGGAAAACGAAAGACCTTTGTAGAAAATGCACTGGCCTCTTCAGATCAGCCTTCTTTGGATTTGAGGCAGAGGCGTCTAGTTGGCCCTTGAGCTCGGCAAGCTCATCGTGAAGGCTCAGCAACTGCTTTCGGTAACCATGGATGCTCTTGAGAGACCTGCGCCAGTTTTCATTCATTAATCATGAAACCACACCAAAAAAGCACAGCAAGACTGAGCCAAACACGCAGGTCCATCCTCGTGATTGCACTCCTGCAACGTCAAAGCATGGGGCCTTGGGATGGGGAAATGGAAATCCAAACGCGGACAGCCTTCAGCTTGCGCTCGACATCAAGAAGTTTCGATTGCAATTTCAAGACCTCTTGCAAATAGGGCATGATGGCATCAGGGTCCTGATCATGACATGGACTAGTGCTTCCACCTTTGACATGTATATACATATACACATTTATATCTATATATACCGGTCTGAGTGAAGAAGATTAAAGTGAAGATACGCGATGTCCTCCAACTCCGGCTCTTCGTCATCACCACGAGGCTGGTGTCGCTTTGCCCTGGACGGCTTCGTCTTGGGCTTGGGGTCGGCGCCATCCTCAGACTGGCCATCATCCTCATGATCGTCACCATCGCTCTCATCCGCATCGGCCTTCCCTTTCGAGCGGGGAGGCGGCCTCAAAGCAAGTTGCCCTGGTGGCCCCATGCCACGAGCAATCGATCCCATTCGCTCCCCCTCCACCACCTCCGCTGGCGCTTCTTCACACGACTCCTCTTCTTCTGCTTCCTCGAATGTAGCCACCAAACCCTTCTCCACCCAGTAGGACTTCACATCCTTCTCGTAGAGATCATTCTGGATGTGGGTTGCCTTGCGGTCTGACCTTTTGCAGTAGGTCTTGATGGCCTGGATGCGTTTCCTCAAGAAACATCAATACACATATCATGTTCCATGAAGAGCATTTTTGAAACAAAAGTTCCATCTTAGGCGCAGACGGTGTGAACTTTAAGTCTTCCCGCATTTGCTTTTCGGTGTAGAATCCTGCTGTGGTTTGGAAAGAGCCCTTGCGTGTCCTCTTGAATCGCCGCGTCACCGTCTTGAGGAAGCATTTCTGCGCAAGCAAGATGCGTGAGCAAGTCGGGAACTCAAAGGGGTTCAAAACCTGGCCTTGTCACCCTTGCACTCGTTCACAAAGAAGTTGAGAAGTTCTTCTCGAGGTGTGCCCTTCTTCTTGAACTTGTCACTAACATGTTTTGGCACGTCGAGGGATCCAGAACCCTTTGGCATACACATTCTTCTGAGTTGATTGAGCGCAGCCGCCTTCGCCTTCTTGTCCATGAGGTCGGGTTGTTTGATGACCTGTCGCAGGTTTTAGGCCCATGTGAGTTTGCATATTGTTTGATTTGAGTTTGATGCGAGCAAATCTGTTTGCAATCCTTTCCAGGCCGGCCGGCCTTGCGA